ACCTGTCCTCCCACTGCCACAGAAAGAATATCCTAGTGTTCCCGAAATCACAGAGGCCTTGGACCCATCATTGGAGGAGGAACAGACCCTGAAAGAAGCTTTAGAGGAGCAACAGGCTGTCCGAGAGGAAATGGAGGCGACAGAAGAGGAGGAAGAAGAGGATGACTGAGTAAAAAGTTGACATTAAATTAAAAAGAAAAAAGATATGCAAGCCAGTGTCAAATAAATTAGTTTACTCGTGGACCTTTAATGTAGTTTAGGAGAATGCATTTTAATATTTAGAGGGCAGATGCAAAATGAGATGTTGTGGAAAAATTCACTGACTCTTTAATAAATTGAATAAATGGTATTATTTTTGATTTGATTTCTTATTTCAAAATGAATTATTGAGCCATTAATAAATACTTGAAATCAAAAATAGATTTCACAAAAAAAAACTCTCAATGAAAGCCTTGTTTAAAAAAACATTTTTGAATTCTAAATTAAAAAACAGATTTTGAAAATCTTTTTAAATATACAATTTAAAAGAGCACTATGAGTACATGGATTCAAAAATCAAAGATTAACGGAGAGCTGAACTTCTGAGTGTGCGCCTGTCGACTCAGACCAGTGCTTGTGTCCAGTCATAAGAGGAGTAATAAATAAAAACAAGGTGCTGTTTGTTCTGCGTAGCATAATAAACTGGGTAATTTTAGCCTGTTTACAGTACTTTATTTGAATATTTTTTGCTTATTTTTCAAAGGAAATACCCATGTGATTTCTGCTATAATTTACTTTGTTGTTTTAGATTAGATGTTGATTAAAATATATACCAACATTTTATTGTATTTTTATTATATGATAAAGATTATGAACATACAGCACATATTTACACTATGCCCAGCTGGCTGTGCATTGTGCTTCTGGCATGCCAGAGTGTCTCTTATTTGATAGTTAAAAAGTTGGCAACCCCAGTTGAATGTAATATGCTAACATGGCTAATGCTAGCATGACTAGATGTAATCCGGCTCTTTTTTTATTTTATTTATTTTTTTATTAATTGAACTTTTAATTGCAAAGCAGGAAAACAGCAGTCACCAGCATATACATACACAGGACAAAGATGCATCTACATGTATGGCAGGACGTGGGAGGTAGAAAAAAAAACCCAACAGCAATAGTAATAAACAATGAAAAAGGTTAACAATCGTCCCTTTGTTGCCAGGCTAAATCCCGTAAGCCCGAATTCAACCTCTGAGCAGAAGGAGTGTCCAGATAGGCCAAAAAAGGGTCCCATGTGCCGTAGAGAAGGCTTCCATTGGCACAATACTTATCACAGACTGTAGCCAATGGTTGATAGATGGAGCCTTATCAGAAATCCACAGTACCATAATGCACTTTCGAGCGTAGTGTAGCAGTATGTGAAGGAGATCTTTGCTGCGAAAGCCGGCAGGTAGCTCATCATTTAGTCCTAACAAGCAAGTCCTTGGACCCAGATGCAGTCGGCAATTAAATATAACACATAGCTTATCTATGAGTGATCTCCAAAACTGTAGAATAACAGGGCAGCTCCACAGACAATGAAAAAAGGAACCAACAGCAGACTGACATTTGTTACAGAGATTAGGCAAAGCTGGAAACATAATGCGCCTCTTCTCAGGTGTAATATAAAGCCTATTTATAAGTTTAAACTGCCTCTCCCAAATAGAATTAGATGCCAAGGCTTTGAAAGGACGACAACACAACTCATCCCAAGCCTCAGCATCTATAACGCCTACAACTGATTCCCATTGACCCTTGATTTTGTTAGAGTTATCCATTCTAAGATCAGAGAGAATGTTATAAATCTTTTCAGTGATACATTTTAGTTGGGTAGTTTTTACCATGAGTGATTCTGTAGGAGAAAGACCAAACCCTCCATTAAAATCCTTCAATTTAGAAGTAATATCATGCTTTACCTGAAAGTACTTCAAAAAATCCTTATTGGTCAGACCAAACTTGCTTTTCAGTTGATTAAAAGTAAGAAGAGAGTTCTCATGAACAAGATCACCCACTGTATTAATCCCTAACTCCGCTCTTTTAAGATCATCATAGCATATGAAAATATTACAGCAGTACTACCTAGCTACTATTTTTAGTATGATAATGTGAAATTCCCAAATAAAGTTTGAAGTAGCTCAAACTGTAAAAACCAGCACTGAGCCCTGTTACATTTATATACAGTGTTAAAGTAATGGCTACAATCTACAGCCTTTAAACTTGTGGTAGTTGGAGTTAAAAGACCAGAGACAGGGTGATTACAACAATAGCTGTAACTTCCGTCACCCCTTATATTACTGGCATCGAGCAAGACGAAGAGTAGAGATGACACTATTAATTTAAGTACATTTGTTTTAATAACACAAGAGCACACATTCATATTCATGAAGGACCATGTTCATCTAATCTCAGCCTCTCTAAAACAGTATGTTGAATCTTATCAGTGAATGTCCAGTATATTGCAATGAATAGCATTTAATTTCATGGAGTATGCACTGTCACCAAAACTGCTTAGAGTCAGTTCAACCTCCTGATCAGCCTCAAACATGTACCGTCAGTCCGGACTTACCTAATTTCTCCTCTCTTCCCTCAGTATACCATAACACACTCTCCAGATCTGGAAGAGAACCCTGTGTTCCCCTGTATTTACCATAACTCTTTTGTGTGAAAATAAACTCTAAAACAATAACAACAACAACAATCTTTATTTATAGAGCACATTTAAAAGCCTTGGGCATACCAAAGTGCTTTACATAAAACAATAAAAAATAAAACAGTTCACACATTAACATCAAATACATAAAAGTAACGGATTATGTTCACAGATAAAAGCCACCAATAAGAGTAAACTGCAGCACATAGGTTATAGCAAGGTAAGACTGTACCACCATGATAAAAGACACCAATAATGGAAAGATAGCAGAGAATTTAATACAATACAATACAATAGGTCAATAGGTCACTGCAAGCAAGCCAGCATTTAACTGGTAGAAAAGGCAAGTTTAAAAAGATATGTTTTTAGCCGTGATTTAAAAGAATGAATAGAATCAGACGCCCGGATGCCAATCGGGAGATTGTTCCACAGCTCCGGTGCAACTAGAGCAAACGATCGATCACCTCTAGATTTCAGTCGAGATCTGGGCTGAACCAACAGTAACTGTGAGGATGACCTTAAAGCCCTAGCAGGAGCATATGGGTTTAAAAGTTCCTTAAGATAGCTTGGTGCAGTGTTATTGGTAATTTTAAAAGTAAACAACAAAATTTTAAATTGAATACGATATTTGACAGGCAACCAGTGCAGATCAGCAAGGACAGGAGTAAACATCTTGGTTTTTTAGTTTGGTTCAGCATTTAGGCTCACTCTTGTTATCAACCTCATGGCCTTTTTTGACAATATCACAATGAAAACATGCTGTAAATATCGAAATCCGTGAAAACATGGCTAATCCCGCTGATTTAAAACTAAAACTTTAAAGCTGCTGGAGTTGTTTTAAGCGCAGTTGTTTTAAACTGTACTTCACCAAAACCATGGAATGAAGTACAAACTGTGTGTCACATTGTCACAGGATTGCACTAATTTGGATGATTTAGAAAATGTATAAAATGTTGTAATACTTGATTCAGGCCTGCTGCTGACTTTCTATTACGCCTCTGGAAAGAACACACACTAAGAATATCTTGTTAATCAATCAATTGAATTTCACGTTAGTCTGCAACAGACTGAAGCTATTTCCACATCTCCTTTATTGGGCTGTGGGACAGTTGGCCAGTCTCAACTACAGACCTGGACCATTTCAAATGGCATAGTTTTTGAGTTATCATCATAGGGCGTGGCCAACCTATCCGCCTCAAAAGTGGTGAGAATAACCGTCAGACCATCATGGCGATTCAGTGTGAACATTGTGAGTTTACATAGAACGGCCCACCTCGATGATGTTAAATGACAAAGCTTTTGAAGTTTCGTGAAAAGGTGTGGCCATGGCTGCACGTTGAGCTTGACCATTCGCCAATCTCTCCCAAGCTTCACGGGCATGATGAGAGTCGAGCCCTGAACAGATTGATGTGCCATTTGGCTGCAATAGTTAGAGCACCTCCTAGACATAGTGGGAAGAGGAAAGACATAGTAGGTTATAATCATTATTGATCTAGATTACATTTTAACTGGTGGTTCCAACCATGTTATGCGTCAGTTGGTCATTTGGTCAAATGGTACTCTCCATCGCCACCTAGTGGGCATAGGATGTGTTCAGCAATGCTCAACTATCACTGATAGTAGTAGCAGTAGTATCAAACATAACACAAATGAATGCATTATTGTCATTAATGCATCTACTAACAAAATAAAAAAAATATTTCTGTCAGTTAAATGTGTTGTAAACACACTAAGAATATCTTAGTGTGTTTACAACACAGTTGTAAACACATTTAACTTCACATAATCCCTGGGATATCTTATAAGTATTAGAAAAAGATGTTTCAAAAGTACGTCTCCAGTGTTTCTTCATGAAAAATGTGTAAAATTACAAAGTTCTATTAGCTCATTGCCCAGACTGACCTGTCTTTATAAAACATAAAGTTTTTGTTCTTTTTTTTAACTATAAAAACAAAAACTCTCTCTTCTTGCTTTCTGTCTTTCTTTCAACAAACTGTGATTTGCTTTAAAAAAAAAAATCAAAACAAAAGACTCCCAGAAATTTCTGTACTAGATAGTGGGAAAACGGGAATTTGATTGTGTGTCATTTAATTTTTTAACTATTACTTAACTATTTTGGAGTAGTATGAATGCCAGCTGGTGAAGTCTTCAGTCAGTACAAAATCTGTAAAACCTAAAGTTAAAAACCTATGCACTTCATCATCCCCCCCCCCGAAACCTTAGGGTAGACTAGATAGGAGTCTTTCCTCGGTCGATTCTGGCCCCCGACCTTACGTTTGACACCACTGTTCTAGAATCGTTGCGTGAGCAACACTACGTCATCAATATTGGACGGAAGACGGATCGTCACGTGCAGCCGTAGAAGGCTCCAGATAAACATGGCCACCTGTGTCAAGATGATAGGAGCTGCTAAACAACTGCACAGAAATTCGGCTTTTGTTGCTAAACTACACTGGCCTGGCGTTGTCTCCCGCTTGACCGAGACATCACCACTGAGCCGGCAACAGCCAGCGCGGTTCTACACCAGCATCGGAACCCCACAGAAAACATGCACGTCCCCCACCACAGCACTGACAGCTGGCAGCAGGCTGACCGGCAGACCTCGCCGGTGGATACGTGTCGGGGCCGTTCCACACTTCCAAGACAGTGTCCTCACCCGGAGCTGTGGACCGTATACGCTTCAATGTAGGATGTATGGAAACCGGGCAGGTGCGGGCTTCTCTGGACAGGATGGCGAGGACGGCGCAAGCTCCGGGGGAGAAGAGCCTGGGGGAGACGGCGGAGCACCTTACAACGGGGTTCAGATGACGGCTCTCACCCCCATGATGGTCCCCGAGGTGTTTCCCAATGTGCCTCTGGTTGCCGTTAGCAGGAACCCGGTGTTCCCCCGCTTCATCAAGATCATCGAGGTGAGTCTGATGTAACCTTGCACATTCTGTCCGCTACTTGGTCTGGTTGAAGGGAGGGTGACGCAATCACGCAACAAACTGAGAGTGATTTGACATTTAAACGGTCTTCGGTAAAACTTAGTACACCTTAGGTTATCAGAGGAAGTCCAGTCTTAAACTGAAGAGGCGATAGAGCCTTTTTTTTAGTGGTGGCTCCTAATCTTTGGAACATTTAGTTACAGTCATGTATATGTTTTATAACCTGTAAACTCTGGTTAATTAAGGTTGTTAAAATTGTGCTTCAGAAGTAGAAGTGTGTCTTCATTTCATTTAATGCCACATTACCATTATTATCTCAGTGTCTGTTTAAAACTACACATTTTGAAGAGAACACCATGTGACTGCCACAAAGGTGTGTGAGGAGTGGGTAGAAATGCTGTTGTTTTTTGCTGTTGTTGCTGCTGTTTGTTTTTCTTTTTTTAAATTAAGACTTAGTTTCTCTTCTTTATTTAGTCAATAAAGTAAAATGTCTCACAACTGATAAGGTCATTTTCCAGACAACCCCTGGAAACTACTGTTTATTGTATTCCAGTGTGTGTGATGTTTCTCTCTTCATGTCAGGTTAAAAACAAAGCACTGATGGAACTGCTGAGGAGGAAGGTGCGTCTGGCTCAGCCATATGCTGGAGTCTTCATGAAGAGAGATGATGCGTAAGTTTGGAAGTCACTTCTCCAGTTGAATTACTGATCACCAGGTTGTTGCATGCCTCAAGATGAATACTGATCTCAGTGGTGTGTTTTTGCTCCATGTGGTTATACAGTCTAAGTGTACTTTACAAATATAATTTATTGTTATACTCAATTAGTTGATGGATTAATCTATAGGATACTAGTTGAGTGGCGTTTTTAGTTTGACATCTGCATCACAGCAGAGGGGTCGGACTGAAGAAGTTACTAAAGCAGCTGTTTTCTTAAATCATTTTCATAGAATTGCCATCCTTTCAGATGTCAGCACTTCTCCTTTGCCTTGGGGGGGAAACTGAATGCTAATTGATTCACGACGTCATCATTGTGGTATAGACAAATAATACGCAAAGAGCGCTGTAGAGCAACATCAGACTTCAGGCTACAGTATAATGCGGGCCAAGAAAAATAGTGCAGTGATTAATAAGTGAATCATCCAGTGCCAACTCAGACGTCCGTCTGATGGATCCATTGAGCTCACAAAGACATACTGCAATTGCTAACACTATTGCATTCCATTTATCCAACACTCACAGTGAGACCAAAGGCTTTGGGAAATGGTTAACCCTGGTAATTATGTTTCCCAAGCGGCAGTACCTGTACTGTATGCAGCATTGCAGGTGAAATAGAAAGGGATCTCATAGCTGTTAAAAGTTTTACTTTAAACTTTATTCACATCAGAAGACTGGACTGGCTCAAGACTTTTGCACAGGACTGTGCATCTCACTTATGCTGCAATAGGTGTAGGCTGCTGTAGGGCTGTTCGATATAACGATATATATCGGATGACGATATGAAAACGTCTATCGTTTCATTTTACGCTATCGTTTGTTTCGTGGTGTCACAAAATAAACTGTTTACGACAATATTTTTTTATTGTTTTGGTGGTCACTGTAGAATTTCTTAAAGTTCTCTCTTTCTCTTATATTTAATATAACCACACTACGGACAGACAAATGACTGTTTTTAACAGTAAAACCATCGCGTGGCTCCGCCGTTGCACCTTCTTATCTAGTGCGCGTCTTTTATTTTGACAGCGAATGCGCACCTGCGGACCACTTATGTGCACCCCTGATTATAAGGGACACTGTCGATTTTCAGAAAAATCAAAGGATTGATTTT